AGAAAATCTTTCGTTAGAGCCAGTGCCCTGACTTTGAACTCTAACTTCTTGCACTATGAGAAAATAAGTTCCTGTTCTTTAAAGCCACTGCTTTGTGCTGTTTGTGTTACAGTTGTGCATAAAAAGGCAGGTCACCCTAACAACAGTGTCACCTTGTTTTCTTAAATTGTGAATCTTTTCAGGGTTAAAGGGAACACTTGTGGCACTGGAAGATAAGCACTGGGTTGCAGCTCATAAGGCTAGCAGTTTAAACCCCATAGGTACTCTGACAGAGAAGGAAGAGGCTTACTCTTCCCATGAAGACTTACAGCCTCAGAATCCCTGTATTGGGTGGCTAGGAGTTAGACAGGACTTGGACCCATATACATAGAGCATCTCCATTACATTCGAAGTAAAAAATCTACTCAAAGTATCATTTGAAATAAAAATGGAGGATCATAAAGTCTCATCTGTGTGTATCCTAAAATAAATAGCTTTTTTTCTATTCTAATTTTTTGTATTTTTAGGAACCTCTGTGAATTTATTCACAAATTTGTTAAATTAGAAGAAAGATAAAGCAACTCTCATGTAACTGGAAAACGGACCCAAGGAAATTCAGGATCCTTTGCGCATAGTGTGGATGTTTGCAGACATGAGAATGAATGAAGATACATTTTGTTTTGCTATGTTTAGTCCCTAATAACATGAATGTGTTATTTGTATCTTGCTCAACAGATTGAAATAAACATATGGACATATAGAATGAGTTTAGCTTTTGTCTGCATGTTCATAACAATACAAAGGACTTAGTTGAGTGTTTTCTGCTTTTACTAAATACTTTTCTCCTGGGAGAAAAATATTTATTATTATTTGAAGTAAATGGGGACTCAAGCACTGCTTTAACACAGATGCACATATTTATTAACCTCAAAGGAACCCTAGTGATACAGTGCGTAAGGCATTGGGCTGTTAGTTGAAAGTTGACAGTTTGAATCCACAGCTGCTTTGCAGAAGAACAATGTAGCAATGTGCTTTTACAAACATTTGTTGTTGTTGTTAAGTACCATTGAGTCAATTCTTACCCATAGTGACCCTGTATAAGGTTTCTACGAAGTGGCTGGGAAGCTTAAACTGTTGACCTTGCAGTTCAAACCAACTTTGCAGTCCAGTGCATTAACCCACAACATCACACCTTGGAAACCCAATGGGTCAGTTCTACTCTGTCCTTAGGGGTACAATGAGTTGTGATCAGTTATCATGGCAGTGGGCTTTTTTTTTGAGGGGGGTATTAACTTGAATGTTCAAGGTTCAAACTCACTCAGTGATACCATGAAAGAAAGGCTTGGAACCCCGCTTCTGTGGCGATTACAGCTGAGAAAACCTTAGGGAGAAGTTGGCCCATGTCACACAAGAGTTCACCACGAGTAGCAATGGACTCAACTGCAGTAGGTTCCATTGTATCCGAAAATGAAGATGAAATTTGATTATGCACATTTATATGTAGGCATTTAATAAAATTCAGCATGATCCAATTAATATCTATTTAATTAAATTCCCAGCACTGATTGCAGATAATACAGTGTTCACAAATGTCACAACACTAGCCTAGTGATATGCAGAGCACATAGCTTAACTGGTGTGATCTTGCAACGTGTGATTTTTTGTTTAGCTCCTGTTAGCTTATAACCTAGTTTAAATGCCTAAGCTAAATGCAAACTTAGATTTTGTTGAGCAACCTATGTAGAGCTATCGTGAAGATGGAGTGTAAGTAGAGAAGAAATTTAATCCTAACTTATGGAACTCTGGGGCTGCTAATTACAAAGTTGGAGTTTCAAACCCATGAGTCACTTTGAAGGGAAAAGACAAGATTATCTCTTCCTATAAAGATTTCCTGTCATAGAAACCCTATACAGGATTGCAATGGGTTAGAAAGGACTTGGTGACAATGAGTTTGTTTGGGAGTTTCGGTTTTTGTTTGTTGGTTTGTTTGTTATTGTTAATCCTCATTTGGTGGTGGTGGTATGCCATGGAGTCAGTTATGACTCATAGAGACCCTGCATAGAGTTTCTGAGGCTGTCAGTCTTTATGGGAGCAGAAAGTCTCATCTTTCTTCCATGGAATGTCTGGTAGTTCCGAACTGCTAACTCTGGGGTTATGCTACCAGAGCTCCTTAATCCTCATCTAAGGGATAGATTTGAGGCCAGGACAAGAGAGAGAGCCATACCTGACTCTCTGCACCAGGACATGGTAAAGGGGATGAGTTCTTCAGGATGCTGTTACAGGTGTGTTTGCTTGTCCTAAGATCCCATTTAGTCTTCTGTTCAAGATAAATGGGTGCAGCTACTGAGAATTTTCACTATACCCGGAAATAAATTGGATTTTATAAATATGTATTGGATTCTCTATGTTCTAGTTGCTTTCTACTGATATGTCCAGTAGAATTCTATTGGTTGGTTCACCCTATTCCATGACACAGAGAAGAACTCTGGAATGGGAGGTGAAGTGACTTCACAGGTAGGTATACACTCTAAACCATTACATTGGGATCCGAGTCTGAGTTTGGCTAATGCAATTCCTAAACGCTAATCATGGCACAACTCATGTTGTGTATACACATCACTAGTAGAGACATAACCAAAAGTGAATCTATAGATTCGTGAAGACAGACACAAAGACCCCAGGAACGAAAAACAAAACAAAACAAAAAAACAAAGCTAAGTTTGTTCATCAAACATGGGAGAGACAAGAGTAGGGAGTATCTAAAGCAGAGGTGCTAGCCATAGAGTTAAAGGAGGTGTGTAGACCATATGGAGAGAGTCTTTAGAGAGCTCAGTCTGAAATGGTTTGCTTGGGGTCTGGAAGATCCTTCTTTCTAACTACCATTCTGGTGAAAAGCACTGTTTTCAAAGAGCTCCAGGGTAGCAGGCGATGATCAAGTGCTGTCAAGATCAAAGCCTTGTAGCAGACACACCCCTGTGTGCGTCCTGGACCTTGAAAAACCAGCAAGTCTCTCCATTTTCATGCCATTTTCAAGCAGCATTCATTAGCTCAGCATTTAAGTATATTCCACACTGGCAGCCTGAACATGGCCCTAGTGCTCAGGGAGTTTGTTGTACAGATCTGTGAAATGAATAACACATGCTTACATGCACACACACATCATAGAATGGAAGACTGACAAATGTGACTAAATAAAGTGTAACCCACTGCTGGGGCAAAATTAAATAACTATCAGCAGTTTAGAAAGTCATATGGCAAAAGAAAATTGAGTAACTTACTGAATATCCATGTGTTCCCAGCATATCCCAGCCCTCCTTGCATTTAGTGGGGACATGTAACTAGGAGGCCCAGATGTTTGGCACTTGATAATTGAAAGATTGATGGTTTGAACTCACCCAACTGCACTGCAGATGAAAAGACCTGGTGATCTGCTTCTTTAAAGATCACCGGAAAGACAACCTTATGAAGCAGTTCTACTCTGTACTACATGGGGTCACCATACATTGGTGTCAATGCTACTCAATGGCATAAGAAAACATCAATATAATTTTTTTTTTCAGATCAATGAAAAGAATAAAGATAGTTCAAAATTTGGACTCTCGATGTGGGAAAAGCTGACAGCTTTGAGACTAAAATTTTAGGATCAGCACCAGACTGTGAACTCACCATCTCCTTCTTGGAAATCCTACAAAGGGTTGCTATGAGTTGGAATCCACTCAATGGCACTAAACAACAGCAACATATAAATGTCTGAGAGTGCAGTAGATCACATGTGCGGCCTTTCCACCCAAGCCCTGTAGCCCTAAGCAGGTGTCTTTGAATTGAGAATCAGATAAGCAATATTTCCACCTCCCCACTTCAAAAAAAGGCAAGCCCACTGCCTTGGAGTCAATTTTGACTTCCGGCTACCCTATAGGACAAGGTAGAACTGTTCCGTGGGATTTCTGAGGCTGTGATCTCTACTGGTACTGACAGCCTCATCTTTCTCCCATGGGTGACTTATTGTTGCTCAGTGTTCCCGAGTCAATTCCGACTTATAGTGACCTTGTATGGGGTTTCGAGGAGTGGATGGTGAGATTGAACCACCAACTTTGTGGTTCCAACTGACTTTACAGTCTAGTGCATTAACCTGCAGCACCACACCAGGACTCCATGAAGTGACTGGTGGGTTCAGAACTCTGACATTGGGGTTAGCAGTCTAATGCTCAACCTCCTGTGCCACCAGGGATCCTTTAAACAGACAGTGCTATTATTAAGTGTCCTTAAGTGGATTCTGACTCCAAGTGACACCATGGGCAACAGAACAAAACATAGGCCAGCCCTGCATCATCCATGTTGGTGCCAACAGAATAATGGTGGTTACGTTTGACACCACGGTTCTTGCCATTGTGTTAGGCCATCTGGTTGTGGGTTTTCCTATTTTTTGCTAACCCTCTTCTTTTCCAGGAATGATGTCCTTCTCCAGGAACTGGTTTCTCCTGATAATATGCCCAAAATAAGAGCGATAAGGTCTCCCCATCCTTTCTTCTAAGGAGAATTGATTGTACTTCTTCCAAGACAGATTTTTTTCTGGCAGTCCATGGTACTTTCAATATTCTTCACTAGCACCATGATTCAAATTTATCCATTCTTCTTTAGCCATTGTCCAGCTTTCACATGTGTATGAGGCTATTGGAAACACCATGACTTCAGTCAGGTGCAGCTTGTCCACAGATTAAGATCTTTGCTCTTGAACACATTAAAGAGGTCTTTTGCATAATGCATTTCATCATTTGATTTCTTGACTGTTGCTTCCAGGAGCATAGATTGTGGATCCAAACAAATTAAGTCTTTTCTCCATTTATCATGATGTTATTATTGGTTCGGTTGTGAGGATTTTTGTTTTCTTTACATTGAAGTGCAATACATATTGAAAGCTGTAGTCTTTGGGGATGAGTGGGAGGCTATTTCTCTTTATCATTCCTGGCATAGTAAACCATAGTTGGTTGGTTGGTTGGTTATGTGCCATGGATTCGGATCTGACTCTTAGTGACCCTGTATAGGTCTGATGCTGTATAGGTCTGATGCTGTAAATCTTTACTAGATCAGAAAGTCTCATCTTTCGCCTGTCAGACAGCTGGTAGTTTCAAACCACTGACCTTGAGGTTAACAGCCCAACTTGAAGCCACTACGCTACCAGAGCTCCTTCATCTTATTAAAAATGGTCAATACCAGTCCATTTCAGCTACCGAATGTCCAGGATATCTATCTTTCTGCTCTCAATTTCTTTTTTGACAATTTCCAATTTCCCTAGGTTTGTATTTCATACGTTCTATGTTCAGATTATTAATGACTATTTTCATCTCATTTTGAGTGGTACCCCTTTAACAAATGCAGGTACCAAAAGCTTTACTGTCTCCTTGTCATTTAGATCAGCTCCACTTTGAGGAGGCAGCTCTTCTGCAGTCACAACTGAGTGCCTTCCAGCCTGAGGGGCTCATTTTCTGTCACAATATCTGACAATGTTCTGCGGCTAGTCATAAGGTTTTCATTGGCTACCCACTGCCTCTCCTTTCTTTCTAGTCCGTCTTAGTTTGGAAGCTTCACTTAAGCCTGTCCACCACGGGTGACCTTGATTGTATTTAAAATACCAGTGACATAGCTTCCAGTAGCACAGCACACACAACCCTTCATAGCATGACACAGTGACAGATGAATGCGTGGAGTTAAGATAGGCAATGAGCATGACAAAGTAAAACAAAAAGGATTTGTGAGCATCTGAGCCAGTCTGGGCACTTGGCACTGACTGGAAGCCAATGGATTGACGTCTTCTGAGTTATTGAAAGTTTTTGTTTTTGTTTTGTTTTTCTTATTACTAAGGGTGTCAGGAATCTCAGGTAAGAAAGCATATGGTTCAAAGCCTAAACCACCACTTGTCCACCAACCCTCCATGTAGAGGAAGAGTAAGCAAGCCAAGAAAAGTGTGAGGATTCTAAGGGGGCATATTCCCCAAAGGTCTCTCTAGATGGGTCTTAGGGAGAGTGAGAGAAAAGGATATTGGATAACAGAGCTCCTTCCAGAATTCAGAACCTGGATTTACTCCTGAGTAGGGGAACTTATGATATCTAGTCTGCAGTGTTTCAGAACTGTTACAGACCAAGGACTGCTTGGGATCCTTGGGTGGTCCAGTTACATGCTCAACTATTTACAAAAAGGTTGGCAGTTTGAAACTACCTAAAGGCACTTCAGAAGAATGGCTTAGAGATCTGCTTCTGAAAGGTCACAGTCTTGAAAACCTTAAGGAGCCCAGTTCTAGTCAGCAACACATACGGTTACCATGAGTCTGAATCAACTCAGTGGCAACTAATCCCTTACCTGCTTTTGGTTGCTGCTATTGTATGCCACTGAGTCGGTTCTGACTCACAGAGACCCTGAATAGGATTTCTGAGGCTGTAAATCTTTGTTTTTAAGTGCCTTCGGGTCAATTCCGACTCATAGTGACCTTGTATAGGGTTTCTTCAGATTATTATTTTTTAAAAAATATTTACAGGAGTAGAAATCCTCATCTTTATACCACCGAGAGGCTGGTAGATTTGAATTCCTGACCTTGCAGTTAACAGCCCGCCATGTAACCAACTAAGCTGCCATGGCTCCTGGTAAGAGTATTCATACTCTTACTATATAAAAATTCCTATTAAAAATAATTTATTTATTGCTAATTGGGTGAAGGTTTACAGGGCAAATGCATTTTCCAGTCAACAATTCATGTACATTTACTTCATGTCACTGATTGCAATCCACACAATATAACTACAATATAACCACTTATCCCACTGTCTCCCTCTGTTTTGAGTACTCATGCCTCCTTCCTTCCTAACCTTTTTGGATTTTATTCCTTGGAAAATGATTCCCTATTGATCACAAATGTTTGCTTATTCTAAAGAATGTGTACCTTCCTAATGTTATTAATTCCTTGTTATAGACCTCTCTGGTTAGGGTTGGCCAAGTGCTCTGCTGGAGAAAGATGAGGCTTTCTGCTCCAGTGAAGATTTAAAGCCTCAGAAACCCCATACGGGGCTGCTGATCAGAATTGAGTTGATGGTACTTAACAACAACAAAATTGTTTGGCTGAAAATTGAGCCATGGGGGTGAGTTCAGTTCCAAAACTGAATGGTGACTTAGGTCCATGGTCTTGGGAGTTCTAACCAAGAAATTTTAAAGACAACCACCTGGTCAACTGACTAGAAGAGATCCATATTTGTATCTATTCCAAAGAGAGGTGACTCAACGAAATGCAGAAATCATAGGACAATATCATGAATATCCCATGCGAGCAAAATTTTGCTAAAGATAATACAAAAACACTGTAACCATGCATTGTCAGAGAACTTCAGAAGTTCAAGCTGGATTCAGAAGAGGCTATGGAACAAGGGCTATCATTGCTGATGTCCAATGGATCTTAGCTGAAAGTAGAGAATACCAGAAAAATGTTTACCTGTGCTTTGTTGATTATGCAAGGCTTTCGATTGAGTGGATCATGACTAGCTGTGGACAGCTTTGCAGAGAATAAATATTCCAGAACACTTAATTGTGCTCACAAGGAACCTATATATAAACCAAGTACCAGTTGTTTGAACAGAACAAGGGAACACTGAATGGTTTTAAATTAGGAAAGGTATGCATCAGTGTTGTATTTTTTTCTCCATACTTATTCAATCTGAATGCTGAGCAAATAATCTGAGAAACTGGATTATATGAAGAAAAACATGGCATCAGAATTGCAGGAAGACTCATTAACAACCTATGATATGCAGATGATACAACCTTGCTTGCTGAAAGTGAAGAGGACTTAAAATACTTACTGATGAAGGTCAAAGACCACAGCTTTCGATACTGGTTGCACCTCAATGGAAAGAATGCAAAAATCCTCAACACTGGACCAATAAATTGCATCCATATAAGTGGAGAAAAGATTGAAAGTTGTCAAAGACTTCATTTTGCTTGGATCAACCATCCACACTCATGGAAGAAGCAGTCAAGAAATCAAATGATGTATTGCATTAAGTAAATATGTTGCACAAGATCACTTTAAAATGTTGAAGAGCAAAAATGTCAGTTTGAGGACTAATGTGCTCAAACTGACCCAAGCTGTGGTATTTTCAATATCCTTATATGCGTGTGGAAATTGGATATTAAATAAGGAAGACTGTAGAAGAATTGGTGCATTTGAACTATAGTTTTGGAGGAGAATATTAAAAGTACTATGGACTTCCAAAAGAACAAACCAGTCTGTGTTGGAAGAAGTACAGTCAGAGCACTCTCTGGAAGTCTGGATGGCCAGACTTCGTCTCTCATACTTTGGATATATTGTCAGTAGGAACCAGTCCCTGAAGAAGGTTATCACGTTTGGTCAAATGGAGCATCAGAGAAAAAGAGGAGTACCCCTCAATGAAATGGATCGGCCCAGTGGCAGCAGAGATGGACTCAAATGCAGCAAAGATTGTGAGGTTGGCACAGGACTGGGCAACCTTTTGCTCTACTGTGTGCAGTGTCGCTATGAGTTGGTACCAACGCAATGGCCCAACAACAAGATAGATACATATTAACTCAGGTGAAGGGAAAGACAATATACCTTTTGGGAGGTGCCCCCCCCTCCAAAACAAGATGATAAGGTCAGAAGGAGACACTGGGAGAAGAACAAGAGTTAAAGGCAACAGAAGTGAACACTATTGCATACACAATCCTGTAATAACAATAATGTACAAGTGGATACATAGGTAGGCAAGCAAGCTGAAGAAGTTTGGGAAGGAGAATGGAACTATACTCATTGATTGATATATGCTTGACAGAGGATGTTTCTACATATGCATTTATGTGTGCTTCAAACAAATATGTCATCAGGGTAGTACATACAGGAGACAAAGTTATCAAAACTTTTTAGCCATAATCAAACATCTTGAGGGAATGAATTGTTGGGTCTTGGGGCTCAGGAACATAGTTTCAAAAGACATCAGGGTCAATTAGCATAACAGTCCACAGACAATTTTCTATAGGAACTGAGGTCTTAAATTTTCCTAAAGGGCAACTATTGGCATCTGAACACCCAGAGGAAAAAAGAGTGAAGAAAAGCAAAGATACCTAGAAACAATTAGTCCATGAACTTAGGGACCATGCGAATCTCAGCCTCCACAACCCTAAGGCCAGTAGAATTAGATGGTGCCCAGCCACCACTACCAACTACTCTGAAAAAGATGATATTTGAAGGTTCTAGATAGAGTAAGAGAAAAATGTGGAACTCAAAAGTTATAAAAAAGAACAGGCATACTGGTCAGATTATACCCATTGACCATATTAATAATAACTGAAAATAACCAAATGAAAAACCACTGCCATCAAGTCTATACCAACTTATGGTGACCCCAAGTATTGCAGAGAAGAATTGCCATCTATAGGATTGGGTGTTTTTCTGGTTGCTTTCTGTATGGTATTTAATTGCCAGAACTTTCTTTTTTCCATTTGTTTAAACTATTAACCTTTTAATTGTTACTGTTTGCTGTCAAACTGATTCCAACAGAATAGAAATACTCCAGAGAGTTTCCTAGGTTGCCATCTTCATGAGAGCAGATTGGCAGCTCTTTCCTCACATTGGCCCACTGGGCAGGTTGGAATTGCCAACTTTTCAGTTAGCAGGGCTCAGAGTGTAAACCATTAACATCACTAAGGGACCAGAGTGAGATAGCAATAACTTTCAATAACTTTATCAAATACCAGTGTTTCTTGTGAGAAATATTTGTAGGAGCTTAATTAATTTGAACTTACAATTAATCAGCTTATTTAAAGTCATTTTCAAGAATGTCTTTTTCTCTAAATTCCTGTATAAATACTTTATCTTAATTTAGGTTGCTTCCCATAGTCTAATTAGCTCTTCAGTCCATTCATAAATATAAAACCCTAAGAGAAAACTTGTTTTTGCAAGACTAAACTGTGCAATTTTCCCCAGTCTCTATTTACTGTTTCTGTCTAGACCTGATATAAGTAATTATTTTTTTTTTATCATCAGTGAGCATTTGCTCAGCGTTTGGCCCTTAATTCATGCTTCTAATTCTTATATATTTAAATGAGTGTTTTGTTTTATGTTCAAATATCTCTTAATCCCTTGGATCTGCTTAATTTAAAATACATCTTGGGCATTGAATTTCCCCCCTGGCTTCTTCTTGTATTTCGTTGTTGTGCATTTCCATCAGGTAGGTTCTGACTCATAGCAACTCTGTATAGGCTTTTCAAGGAGTAGCTGATGGATTTGAACCTTGCAGTTAGCAGTCTATTTAGCAATCTAGTGCTTATTGTACAGTGCCACACCTACAAAGTTAGTGTTTTGTTGTTATTAAATACTGTTGAGTCCGATTCGACTCATAGAGACACTACAGAACCTTTATGAGGAGCAGCTAATGGGTTTGAATCGCTGATCTTGCAGTGTGTATTGTTGTGTGTTGTAGATTTGTTTCCTGCTCTTTCTTGCCAAGACTGTTAGGAGTCAGAGCACTATGAATTGCTGACATGATGCCAAAATGTCATTATCTGGGTCCAGCCGAGAAAGAGGGGAGGAAAGGACAATTTTAAGGATATCCCCTCAAGGAACAGCTTTCAAAGATCCATTTCCTAATCTGTACAACACTCTTGCTGAACAGCAGTTCTTTCTTGATCACAGCATCTACTCCTTTTTGCAAAGAGCCCAGCGTTGTGATAATAAATCTCTGTGCCCATTTCCCATAGTGCCAAGTTCAAGTCTGTGGAAACATTCTTTTCCTGACTCTTCAAAGCCTTTACTCCATCAATTACACTCTGTCCTTCTTCAGTCTCTCCTCCTTCCCCATGTCTTTTCCTTTGACCTATGTGG